CCTTTGCCTCTGGAAGTTTGCCTAGAGAGTAGTGGTGGGCAGCAGGACCCCAATTGCTGTTTAGTTATAGAGCCTGTAACCTTGGCGTATAGGAATGATGCTCCATCCAATTGACCTATGGGGCCAAAGCCTAAATAAATGTTTTTGGATGGATAGATAAATTGATTTGGGAAAAAAGTAGGAAAATATCCATAGCAATCGATAAACAAAGAGAAGAGATTCTTTTGAGGGGCTCTAGGACTGAGGGGTGGGGAAGGTACAACCACAGCGAAAAAACAGAAAATGGAAAAGGAAGTTGGTAATAGAAAGGACTGGTCAGCAAAGAATAGAAGGTCTGGTCTGGATTAGGCTCTGATTTAATTTCATCTGATTTACTGTTCCCTGTAAAAATGTATTTGCTCTGGCCAGTCTCCAAAGATTTGCTGTGAGTTTAAATTAAGGTTAGATTGAAGTTAATTACAGTAATTTCTTTCCACAATGACAGTATATTAAACACTTCTTAAAATTTGATAGGGATGGTGTTTTCATCAGCTTGGGGGGGGTGCTATACCACAATACTATCAACTGTGGTGGTTTAAACAACAAACATGCATTTGTCACAGTTCTGGACACTGAAAATCTGAGACTAGGATGCCAGCATGGTCACCTGATGAGGGCTGTCTTGGTTGAAGATGGGTGATTTCTCCTTGTATGCTCACGTAGCAAGAGTGTGAGAGCTCTCTGGGGTCTCTTTAATAAGGGTACTAATCCCATTTATGAGGGTTCCACCCTCATGATCTAATTATATCCAAAAGGCTCCACCTCGTAATACCATTGCACTGGGGGTTGGGATTTCTTTTCAACATCTGAATTTAGAGGGAACAGAAACCTTCAGTCCATAACAGATGGCTATATTGATGAAGGCAGGGATGTAGATACTAGGCAGTCAGGGAGAACACAACCTAGGAAAATGGGAGAAGGAACATTATCTCTAGAGAGTTCTTGGTGGAGGAAGAAAAAAGAAGGGGCAGAGGAAGGAGAGTAAAAGAGTGGGGAGGGGGATGCAAACATCTATTTCATAATTTTTTAAAGGGCCTAACCTCTCAGAAAGTCTCAGTCTGATCATTGTTCTTTGAAAGCATAACTACAACTACTTTTGCATTTAATTCATTGTTCCCAAAGTGCTACAGTGCAATCAATAAATACTTGTTGATTGATTATTCTGAGTGATTTGAATCAATCCACCCTTCTGGTTTATTACAGATTTTAGAATTGACATTGAGCAAGCTGAAATAAAAACTGTCTTTAAATTTGCAAGACATTTTATGTCTCTCCCCAAGGAAAAACAAACATTGGTCCAGGACTACTATGTACCAAACACTATACTGGGGGTTTTCTTTACGTTATTACATTCTAGGAATTCATTATTATTTTAACAATCACTTAGTGCCCATTACATGTCAGCCCATTTGCTAGGCAGTGATGATAAAAAGCAAAGAGGGAGAAACTCTGACCTTTTAGCAGTTACCATGTAATGGGGAGAAGACAGTGCTAAATCAAGAATTGCCAGGTACTGTGGAAAGTGCAATGAGAGGTAAGCACTTGGCAATCTTAGAGGGCAGAAATGAGGAGCTTTAATTCAAAATGGGTAAGAAATAGAGACAATTAGAAGGGAACATTTTCTGAATGAAACTTTAACTGGATGCCAAAAGGAGCCTAAGGTGACATGATTAAATGTTGTGGGTCCTTGATGGGATCTTGGATCAGTAAAAGGACATTAGAGAAAAACCTGAAGAAATAGAAATATGAATTTTAGTTACTTATATGTATTATTATTGGTTCCTTAGTTGTGACAAATGTACTATGCTATTATAAGATATTAATAATATGAGAAATTGGGTGTAGAATGTAATAGAACTATTTGAAGTATCCATGTAATAATTCTGTAAACTCAAACTGTTCTAGAATGAAACTATCATTAAAATATTGAAACTGGCATTTTGTATTTTTGTTAGATCTGACAGCACTAGTGCTTTTACTTCCAAATAATAAACATAAACTATGAACATTACCTTAAGTCGATTGAATAAAGAATTTGAGTTGTATATAATTTCTCCTACATATTTATTCCAAGCACTTTATTTTCTATAAACAGTTTGTTTTCTTTTTTGGGGGCAAGACTCAAGCAACCAAATAATTATTAGGCAGAGAATATACTTCAGTGTGGAAATGCTTTGCCTCTAAGCGACACAGTCTAACACTTTAGACTGTTACAAACACTTTCAGGACCTAAAAAAGAACTGGCTTAAATTTCCTCCCATCCCCCAAATGAACCATCAACAGAATTAATCTTAATTTGGGCTGTGCACATCTCAAGAGATTTTAAAAAATACAGTTATGAGGAAATCACCAAGGTGAAAGCGCTGCAAGTAATCACTTGTCTGGGGTGACTGCTAATTTATGCTGCCCGAATGGAAAACAGTGCTGATTACTTTATTCTTGTTGCTCCTTTGGAAAAGAACAATCCATATGCTGTGGAAGACCTTAGAGTTTGGGATAAAAATAGAACTGTATAGTATAACAATTTTATTTGAAGGTGAGCTCAGAAACAATTTATCCAAAAAAGGAAGATGAGGGTGAAGAATGAGAGTGAATTTTAGAATACTTGCCATTTTCCAGATACAAGGCAACGAAATATGTTTATATTTTGTTCAATTTTGTTTATTATCTGCTTTGGTGCTTAACAAAATTAGCAAGTTAGATATTTACTGCTTAATACTTAAGTGCTGATAATATGCTGGGCCTTATAAAGTAAATCTGTTTTCAAATGTAGTAGAAATTATGCATCATCGATTTATCCAGGTTCCCTCAACCTCTTAACTATTGATTTCTACTCTAAGTGACAAGGCCCTAAAACTAACATGTATGTGTAAACCATGTTACACACAAACACACATGTTAACTTTACATGCTAATGATTTACATACGTCATTAGTTTGTAAACTTGCAGAGCATCTACTGTAGGCAAAAAATGCTGGTGAACAGCTTTGATGTATCCAGAGGTAAGAAATAGTTCCTTTGCTGTATTTCTACCTGTGCTACTCAAAGGTTTTGAACTTTACAGAAGGGAATAAGGTTAAGTTAGACGTTTGTCTTACGGTCCTTACTCCTGCAAAACCATCGGGCAAAACCTTGTTTTAAAACATAATACTGGAAAGGATTTGGATTCGTTCTAAGGCAGGACCATGGGTTCTTTAAGATACGGATTTACGTAGAAGGGCTAGGTCTGTCGCCAGAGCTAAAAAAATGGGTTCGTTTTTTTAAAAACTGGACTCGCCTAGTAGGAGCTCGGAGCTTTGCTCCTTGGCGCCTCTGTAAGGGCGGGCCTCGCTCATTTCGCCTTACTCCAAGGACCAGAGACCGTGGGAAGAGCCTGGCTCCGACGAGGAGAGGGTCCGGCCCGGGCCCCACAGCTCACAGACCGCCGCTTGGGGCCTTTGAAACCTCAGGTCGCGGTCTCGACCGACTTAAGGCCGCGGCCCTAACTTAGCAAGCACCACCTGGAAGCCTGCTGGGAGTGCAACTATCGTAACTGCTGCCTGCTTTCCAGGCTCAGAGTGTGAACGGACCGCTGATTGCGCCTTTTCGGTGGTCAAGAAGCCGTGTTCCGGGATAAAGGCCACGAGGGCGGGACTTGTGGGTGCGCGGGGCTATTTCCTCACGTCGTGGTCAGTCAGGGTGCAGAGAGGCTGAGTAGGAGTCAGAGCGGAGCGCCACATAACGCAACCTAATCGGGTCTGAGCTTTGGCGGGCACCGAAGAAGCAGTTTGTGTGAGAAACCTACAGACCACAAGAGGGAACGATGGGTCAAGCAGCGAAGGTTTCACGACAGCCTACAAGCCTAAGAGGGAATTTGAGAGCACAAGGGGGAGGGGCGGACAGAGCCGGCGGCTCGCACAGAGCATGCTCTGTTCTGAGCGCTAAGCAGAGAGCTAGGCATGCGCTGTGAGCCCAGGGTGGGTTGGCAGCAGGGAGGGGCTGGCGTGCGCTGGCTGATGTGTTTATCCGGTTTTCTGGGTGGGCGGTCAAAGCGCACGCGTTAAGGGCGAAAGGCAGCGGAGCTGGTAGTGGGATGCGCATGCGCTGAGTGAGCGGGTGGCTCTGGGCGGGTGTGGAGGGGGGTCTTGGAGGAGAAGCAGGGGAAAAGGGAAGCGAAGGGAAAAGGAAAGAGCGGGGGGGAGGGGTGAGAGTGTGCTCTGCGCATGCGTGCGAGCGCCAGCGACGACGGCGGCGGGGGAGTCTCGGGGATGACAGTGGCTTTGCCCGTTGGGGTAACGGTCGTCGTCTCCGGCAAGGCTTGAGGTGCCACACAGCCCGTGGGATCCGTTAAGGCCGCACCAACCTGGGCTCTACCGAGCTAGAGTGGCTCGTGGAGTCCGGGTGAGGGCGGCGAGGCACGAGGGGAGGGGCCTACAGCGGGGCCTGCTGTGTACGCTGGGCGGCGGCGGGGCCTGGCTGTGTGAGCGTTCGTCTCAACCGTGGCCGGGCGGGCTCCGTGGGCGGCGGCGACCGTCGTGCTTGGTGGAGGCGGTGTCTGTGTGTGCAGCGCGGAGAAGATGGCCGGGCAGTGAGGGGCGGCGCTTGCGCTTGGTGACCTCGAAGTAAGCGACTGAGGAGCGAGGGGCGCCGCCGCGGCCCGGCAGGGCCTGCTCCCCGCCCCCTCCCGCTGCTGCCGCGGCCGGCCCGCGCACTTCCTCCCCGGCCCTCCCTTACCGGGTGCGGGACTTACTTTCCCGCTTCGCCACCTCAGGGAACAGCGGGGCTGTAATCACCGGGGCCGAGAGCCAGCCACAGCGTGGGCCCCTCGTCCGATATGGAGAGAGTGGCGGCGGCCTTCGCCCTCCGCAACAGTAACATTCGTCGCTGCCGCGGCTTCGTGCACTAGACCGAAGAAGCTGACGCCGGTGTTGTCGTCTTTGCTGTCGCTGCTGCCCCCGCGCTGGGCGCTGTGATGGAGTAAGGGCCCTGCAGGCAGTGAGACGCGTGCTCGCCCCCTAGTCCGGGCCGGGGCCTGCTCCCACCCTGCTCGACCCGAGGAGGTACCTCCGCGTCCGGACATGCAGCTGGAGCCGAGGCCGCCCGCCGAGCCGCGGGGCTAGACTGAACTCCAAGTCGTGGCCCGAGCGCCGAAGTCGCCACGTTCTGCGCCCCGTGGCCGGCCGGGACAAACTCGAACGCCGGTTTCTCTACTTTTTTTTTTTCCTGTCTGCAAGTCTCAGGGACGGAGGAGGGGCGCCACGGCCCCATGTGTGGGAGGATTGCTTCAGCCTCACAAACTTGCACGGATTTTGGTTACTACTTTGGCCAGTGGTTCTGCTCCGATTTCCTTCGAATTGTTGCAAATTCGCCATTGTTCCCTGGCTGCTCACGAAGTTGGATCCGGAATTTTTTTTCGACCGGGAGTCAACGGTGTCCAAGTGTCTGCAATGAACCCCGTGAATGCTACTGCTCTCTACATTTCCGCGAGCCGCCTAGTGCTCAACTACGACCCCGGAGACCCCAAGGCGTTTACCGAGATTAACAGGCTCTTGCCTTACTTCCGACAGTCCCTCTCGTGCTGTGTTTGCGGTGAGACGCTTTTAATTGTTCCGTTTTCAAGGTTTGTTTTAAAAAACCTGGGCAGTGGTAAACGGTTCGACGACACGGTGGTTTGTGTTATGTTTGTTATTTGTGCAGTAGTATACGGCCATTAGTTTTGAAACTCGCCAAAAGACTTTTGCCCGTCATTTCAGCAGAAAGAATACTTCCATACCGCTTTGTACAGTGGCCTGAATATTCAAAACTGTTTAATTTGCCTTAAGCCAGTTGCTTAGCATTTCTGATGGTTTTTAAAATAAGGTGAAATAGCATGCATCCTGCTGCCTTTCTTTTTTAAACATTCGAAACAAGAGTTGACTTAATACCAACCTTCGTTAAAACATGGACATGTGGTCTGTTTGCATTTCCGCAAACTGTTGTTAATGTGGGGGTGCTGGTATGAATGTGATGTGCCCACAGCTAGTGAAAACTCTGCAGAACTTTCCCCCAGGTTCTTCCACAAATGCTTTGATAGTTGCATAGTAGATAGTGAGCCAAGGCAATACTTGATGGGGTATCGAGGGATTTTTACAGGAGTACATTTTTTTAAAGATTTTATTTATCTTCAGAGGGGAAGGGAAGGAGAGAGGGAGAGAAACATCAATGTATGGTAGCCTTTCGTGGGTCGCCTGCTGGGAATTGGCCTGCAGGGAACCGGCCTGCAACCCAGGTATGTGACCTGACTGGGAATCGAACCTTGAGTGTCTGGTTAGCAGGCCCGCGTTCAATCCACTGAGCCACAACAGCCAGGGCTAGGAGTACATTTTTTTACTTTGTGGCTTTAATATACTGTGGTATGCTAGAGGGTTGTTTTGGGTATTTAATGTTAATTTGGGCTGGGGACATACTTTCGAGTTATTTCTGAGACATAAAGATATACTAAGTTGTCTAATCGAAATTTCTCAAAAGGGACAATTTGGATTAGTTTTGCACATACCGTAATTTTTTTTTTAAAACCTAGATGAAGTGTTAATACAAAGGGAAGGGCAACTGGCCAAAAGAGGCAGTAATATATTCCACTTCGTATTCTTATTATGCCAGAAATTTTGAGGTTTTGTTGATCCACTCACTTGTTTAGTCAGAACTTCGTAAATTTAGGCATTTCAGGCTTTCACTTGATCTTAAATTAGATAAAGGGGAGTAATTTTTGAGACTATTTGAAAGTCATCTAGCATTTTCTTGATAGTTCTGGGGCAAAGTACTGAGGGAGTGCAGAAGAGGTGAAGATTATGGGGGTTTTTTTACACCAGATACTTAATCTCATAAAAATTTAAGTAACTGTTAGAATGTGATTAAGTTCTGTGACTGGTGACACTTAACACCTTTATAGAGAAATACGTGCTTGGACAAATCACTAACTGCCCTGGGCCTCAGTTTCTTAATATAAAACCAGACGTTTGGGCTAGAGTCAAGGCTTCCTTTCAGCTTAAATATTACTGATGTATGTAAGCATATGAATTTGATTGGTTTCAAATTTGAAATTTTTCTGACAGTGGTACATTGTAATTATTCCTTTTCGTACAGCTACCCTCTCCCACTATCCTATGGAAAAGAGTTGTGGATTCTTTTTCTCCCTTACAACTGAATAGTTGGCATAAAATTTTGGCAATATGATGTAGTTTCCCTCGCCCCCCATGCAGTCACTGGTTATCAACAGGAAAAAAAATCACTTATTTGAACTCAGATCCAGCTTTTAATTAATTTTGTATCAGGTGCTGCCTTACACTCTTTTAGTTGAAGTACATAATACACTCATTCAGATAACTAGGGCATATGCAGTTGTCTTTCATGAAGATGATATATAAAAGTAGTTTAATTCTGTTTTGATACTGTAGATAGGGAGTTTATTACAACAGGCCTTCCAACATCTGACCCAGTCCTACCTTTTCAGGCGCTCTCTTACATAATTACTTTGCTTCAGCCAGGGTGATGTTTTTGCCTTTTCAAATATACATATATGCTTTATGTTTTCTTCTTTTTTTTTTCAATAAAAAGTTCTCTTCATCCTTTGAACCTCTGTAACTCTTTGTCTAATCTTAGGTACTTAAAACTCTTTCAGTGCAGTTTTTATATCTGATTCTTCTGATACATTAGGGAAAATACTCTTTTTTGGTACATTTTTGTGTTCCTCCTGCCTTATCCTTCATTTTCTATCTAGTGACTTGCATGTAGGTGTTTATGACACTCAGGAGTCTAGTGAGAGGAGGTAAAGGGGGGAAAGTAATAGGCTTACAAACTTCACAGTTTGGTTTGGAAAAACCAAATTTTGGTTTTTCTACTTTTGTGTAGATGGGTTGCTTTAACTTTTTTGCCTCGACTTCCTTTATCTACAGAGGGGGTGGTTATGCCTTACTTTTACAGGTTTGTTTCTCCAGATTTATTTTATGTGTGGGTTTATTTTTAAGTGGGAAAAAACCTTTTGAACCCCTGAGAACAAGTTTATGGACCTGGTGTCTGGCACATGTTATATGCTTATAGTCCCACCTTGGTACAGAAGTAGAGGAGGAGGAGGTGAGAGAAGACACTGAACTGTCAGGTCAATTATTGTCAAACCTAGACTGTTCTGTGGAACTACAAGTTTTGTTTTGTTTTTTGAAATGTTAATTAGCTGATTATCACTGTTTGTTTTTCATTTGCTTTGTATATTTAAATCTTCTGAAGCTTTTAGTGAATGGGATAGCAATGCTGCAGAGAATTACTGTACTTTCTAGGCCACAGAAACAAATTACTGTGGGCACTACTTTTTGTGTCAGTTTTTCTCCCTTGCTGTAAATATTGGGGTGTGCTTTATCACTTATTAGAAAGTATAATTTCTTTTAATGGCATGGGACTTGATAAATTCTGTCGTGGGGATTTTAAGTTTTTCATTAAACTTGTAAGTCCTCAGCTGATGTAATAAGTTTCATAAGTAGAATCAAATCCTGTTAGAGTTGGAAGGACTTGTTGAGTGGAAAATTTTTATTATCTGAGATATTTGGAGTCCTGTAAATTAATCATGATCAAATCTGTATTCAGGGCACATGAATATTTTTTTGGTGTTTTAATTAGAGTTTAGAAACAAAATGGTTCTGGCTTTTAATTTATGTGGTAGTTTTGGACCTTCTTACATAAAATGGGAAGGGAGTGGAGGTTAGTGTTTTCCACGGATTTAGGGTGATGTAGGCCAACAAGTTTTTGTTTCGACTATGGAGGACTAAAGACAAAAAACCCTATCATCTTTTTCTACTACTGCTTATGTGTACAAAAGATACTACTTCTAGTGTACCACTAGAAGGTAGGTGGTTCCCTGAGGGTGAGAGCTTGCCTTGTCTTATATCACTGTAGCCTTGTACCTGAAACTTACTGACTTGTTGAATGGATGATGTTACCATTAAAAAGAGAAAGTATCAACGTATGAAGGATGTGCTCTCAGAATAAAGTATTTGCTTTAAAATCAAGTAGATTTAGCTTTATGAAACATTTGTCTCATTTTATCATTGTAGACTTTCCCCTCCCCACTGGAATTAGTGGAGTAGATCTTAAGAATCTCTTCCAATCGAATTTTGAATTCTCTCTTTTAGCAGAATTAACTTTGGTTTTTGACTGAGCAAACAATTTATAAATAGCAAGAATCTTCTAAAGCGAACTGTGAACGTATAGCTTGGAGTGTTTTATTTTCAACTACGCATCTTTTAGATGGAGGCTAAATTAAAAGGCCATATGAATAATTGTGTTATATTAATACTTCATATTATTCTCAGACCATGAGTTTATTTCTTAAGAATTTGATTTCTCTAGATACTTCATGTAAGTAGAATCATATAGTATTGTATCTTTTTGTTGACTGGGGTATTTCACTTAGCATTCTGTTCTCAAGGTTCATCCATGTTGTAGCCATGGCAGGATTTTCTTCCTTTTTGAGGTTGAATAGTAGTCTGTTGTATGTATATATTATACTTAGTTTATCCACTCATCCAGGATGGACATTTGAGTTGCTTTACCTCTTGGCTATTGTGAATAATGTTGGTATGAACATGAGTGTACAAATAACCCTTAGAGACCCTGCTTTCAATTTTGTTGGGTATATAACCAGAAGTGAAATATCTGTGTTCTGTGGTATTTCTTTTTTTAAAACTTTTCTTAAAAAGCCCGGCTGGTATGGCTCAGTAGATTGAGTGTTAGCCTGAGAACCAAAGGGTTGCTGATTCGATTCCCAGTCAGGGCACAGGCCTGGATTCCAGGCCAGGTCCCCAGTGGGGGCACGTGAGAGGCAGCCACACATTGATGTTCTCTCCTTCTCTTTCTCCCTCTTTTCCCCTCTCTGTAAAAGTAAATAAGTAAAGTCTTTTAAAAAATTTAAAAAAAAATTTATTGATTTTAGAGGGAAATGGACAGGGAGGGGAAGCAGGGAGGGAAGGAAGGTAGGGGAGAGAGAGAAACATCAATTTGTTGTTTCACTTATTTATGCATTCATTGGTTGATTCTTGTATGTGCTCTGATTGGGGATCGAACCCACAACCTTGACACATCAGGAGGATGCTCTCACCAAGTGAGTTATCTGGCCAGGGCAGTTTTTAATTTTTTGAGGAACCTCTATATTGTTTTTCACAATAGTTGCACCACTTTACAATCCTTTCCATCAGATTAAACATTTAAATTCATCACATTCTTAACAATAGTTGTATTTTCTGTTTTTTTTTAATTGATAGTAGCCATTGTAAAGGGTATCTCATTGTGGTTTTGATTTGCATTTCTGTAGTGATGTTGATCATATGCTTGTTGATCGTTTGTATATTTGAAGAATCATTGTCTTTTTATCTTGAAAACTTATTTCACTTATTACCTCTTCATTAATCACCTGTGATGTTCTAAGCGTTGGAGTAAAAAAAATTAATAAGACACGTAACCTTTACCCATATGTTCCTTAGTGTTATGGAGAAGACAGATAAGTAAACCAACAATTGTTAGAAGCACTTAATGTCATTACCAAATCTCAAGTATCATAATAGAAT